TCCAGAATAAGGGGATGCAGCGGACGTCGTCTCCCCTCCGCATCGCGAGGAATTTCAGCTTGTTTTTTCTTTCCTGCTGTTTCCTCTTCAGTTCCGCCCGCGGAACCCGAGGAGTGCTTTGCACTCCAAACCGCCGAGCGATGGGGCGGTGAGGATAAAATTCGGGGTTTGAAAAAAAATCCACTAATGCCTCGAGAATATCACTTAAAAACTGCTCCGAAATATTCCGTAGCTTTTTAATTGAAGTAAACAAAGTGCAACAAATCCTAACTCAAATATGATTGCACTGAGATTAGGCTCTAATTGCTTAGGGTTCAGGTGGAATCTGCAGGCTAAAGCCTATAAGAACAATCTGAATTTCACAATCGTTCTGTCAAAAGCAAAGAGATGAGAGCCCACACGCTTCCTAACAAGTCATTTTTAACAGTTACAAGCTTCTTACAAAGACCACACAGGGAGCCTAAGAGATGCAAATCTAATCCCTGGTCATTCTGCAGGCCTTCAACAAAGATGTACTAAAGCCTAATAGAAAAGAAATCAGTTCTCTGTCACCAGCTCCTAGTAAAATCTATTAGAGAAAGTACGGATCTTGTATTTACAGCAGTTGCTTTTAAAGGTTAAGGACAAGTACATATAAAAGGTATAATTTTTTTTTAATGTGAAATATTTAATAAAATCCATCATCTGCTCTTTTTTATTCCTAATTTTGGTATTTAGTTTGTATTCATTGAGCAAAAGAATTATCCATCCCTTTGTTCTTTAAAATACTAGCAACAGAATTTTTTTTTAATGTTAGTAATTCGGACGGGAGCCGTTTCGCTTTTTTTTTTTTTTCCCCCAGGATCCCTCGTTTAAAAATGCGTGCAGGGGCCTCAGAACAGCGGTCATTATCTTGTCAAAATACCTTGAAATGTCTCCACCCCATCGGTAGTTTGACCAGCGTCCAGGAGTGCATATTTAAATCAAACGAATATCTAAATAAAGAGGAATAAAAAGTCCGGCCGCGGTTTGGCAAAAGATACACAGAAGTAGGCAACCTTTTCCAGGACACTCTCCTCTCCTAAGTTTTGTTTTTAATGCGATCACGTCTCTTCTTTTTTTCCTCACTCGCTATATGCTGAATTACCTCTACCTCCCGGCAAATCTCACCCTGATTTAGTAAGGCTCTCTATTGTACACCGAATAATTCAAATTAACACGAAAGCCATCACTTTTCTACACGAATACACTCATACGCAAACACACATCTACGCACACCTTAACGTATATCCATACATCATGCTTTTGCAGAAGATTATATTAACGCAGAGGATCCCCCCCACGCACAGAGTTGTAGCAACACTAACTTTCAGGTCACTCTTGTTCGTAAAACGTTCGCCTGTTCCTTTTGCCCAGGGAAGGCTCTGGGTACGCAGCCTACCGCCCAGCAAGGTAAGAAAATGAGGTCGCAGTCCGACGGTCTCCCACTCCCAAGGCGCCGACTGGGTTAACTGGGAATCTTGCCTGCCTAACCGCTGTGGGATCAGACCTTCCATTTCTCCCCTGAAAATCCTTGATAATAAAATAAACGGGTCACTTGTTGATGGACTGCGAGTTTTCTTGGAGTGCAAATATGCACCGGGGGAGCCGAAGTGCGGCGGGGGGGGTGGGG